ATGATCATCATTTACATCATCATTATCATCTTTATCACCATCATTATCATCATCATTATCATCATCAGCATCATCAGCATCAGTATCAACATCAGTATCAGCAGCATCAGCATCAGCATCAGCATCAGCATCAGCATCAGCATCAGCATCAGCATCAGCATCAGCATCGTTGCCGTTATTAGCACCATTATCCTCATATGTTTACCGTCATCATCACCATCATCGCCGTTAGTTGCGGCCTGCCTCTCACACGTTTCGTGGCCCCATGGGGAGCTCCACAGAAGGCCCCAGTGGCGCAGTCGGCATGTAGGCGACACCCCCGCTTCGGCACACCCCTCACACGTTTCGTGGCCCCCATAGGGAGCTCCACCGAAGGTCCCAGTGGCGCAGTTCGCATGTGGGCGACACCCCCGTTTCGGTACACCCCTTACACGTTTCATAGCCCCATCGAGAGCTCCACCGAAGGCACTAGTTGCGCCCGCCCGCATGTTGGCGACACCCCGTTCCGTCACACTTCTCACACGCTTCGTGGCCCCATAGGAAGCTCCAGCGAAGGCCCAAGGGGCGCAACCTCCCCCGATCCATGGATTTGGCGACCGCGCGCCAAATCCATGGATTGCGAATCCATGTTTGCGCGCCCCCGACAACGGCATCCCCATTGGAGTGATGGAGCAGTCTTGAGGGGCCAGGCGTCTGAGAGCGTCCCCGTGGGGGGCGGGGGTCGATGCTCCTGCCTTCACCCTTTCGGTCGCAAATCATGGGAGCCTGGCGTACCCTCAGAATTCCGTCTTTAGCGTCGATTTGCGTCTAGAGTCGATGAAATAGCGCCGATCTAGCGTCGGTCAGCGTCGGTTAGCGTCGACTTAGCGTCGATTTAGCGTCGATTAGCGTTGAATTAGATTCGATTGGCGTCGATGTGCAAGATCCGACAAGTTGGTACGGGAGGCTCCCATGAGTTGCCACCGAACTCTCTTGGCCGTTCGGCCAACGGCGTCCTCATTGGAATGATGGAGCAGTCTTGAGGGGCCAGGCGTCTGAGAGCTTCCCTATTTTTGGTTCACCATGTGGGCCCCCGTAGCAGACAGTAGGGATGAGACAGGATACAAGAGACAACAAACGAAGTACAGGGCGAGATGTCCAAGTGCAAGAACCACTAAAAGTACATGAGCTCACCAGAGTGTTTCACAGCACGATTCCCCCAATGCTTGTCAGCATATGTTTGACCGCGAGGGTGCTATGGGACTAAAATGAGAATGACGATTCTGATGCGGAGTGGGGAGAATATGGATGCGGATGCGGATGACGTTGAGGTGTTGGGGATGGGCTCAGGAGGAGGATGAGGATGATAACACGGAGGAGCTTCAGGATGGGGAACATAACCACGATGATTATGACTATGCCAGTTTCCGGTGATTATGATGAGGATGGTAAGCGTTACGTGATAGTAAGGAGTACATGGATGATAAGAAGGAGGATTATGATGATGAGGAGGAATGGGAGGAGGAGGAGGAGGAGGAGGAGGAGGAGGAGGAGGAGGAGGAGGAGGAGGAGGCCGTGGATGGCAAGGGAGTTGTAGAGCACGAGGACGATAGGACGGCAGCGCTGTGCAGGGGGGGGGGGGCAGGGCGTGCTGGCTGACGGGCACGAGCACGACGGCCCGGAGGGACGCCCCGCGCCCAGTTCATGCCCTTCCGGGGGCTCTTCATCACCGGCGGCGTGTCCAAGAAGCTCCCGCGGGGAGGGGGCCGCGAGCGGGGCGGGCAGCAGCACCCTTGTGTGACGCCCCGGGAGGCGGGGGGCCCAGGACGCCCAGGGTTAGTTCGGGCGTGTCCCTCCACAGGAGGAATATTCAAGAAGAGTCAATCAATAGTGTGGGGACTTAGTTTTTTTGTTGTTCTTATCTTCATTTCTTGGGAAAGGAATATCTGCTATTCTTGCCTATTTGTGAGCATTCTCTTGCATTGTTCTATTGTTCGTCAAGAATCCGCCTGTAGGGGGACATACCCGACCTAAGCCCAGGGCTCTTCTGAGACTCTTCGCTGACCTTCCCCTGTCCCTCGGTGTTCCATTCTGCGCAAGGGGGCGTTACGGCGACGGCGCAGTCTGGATCGAGAGGGCCGCCACTCGAACAACAAACACCGGCATAAGCATGAACTGTCGGAGTTCCGCGCGGTTTGTCTCGCATCGGCGCTGGGCCCCGCGGAGCGCGCCAGGGGTGGCGCCAGAGGGGCGGCCAGGGGGGCCCAGCGCCGATCCAAGAACTCCGCGCGGCGTTTCGAGCGTCTTTGTTTAAATGCAGGTTTCTCTCTCTACCCGGAGGGCCGAGACGAAGACGGAAAGAAGTGGGGTGATGTTTGATGGTAGTGTTAGGTCGGGTATGTCCTCCTATTGGCGGATTGTGGGCGAAAAATATAAAGATAGTCAACACAATTTGCAAAAATGGTAAAGCAAATAGTCGAAACATCGCCAGACTATTTTTGGTCTATTTTCGAATCGTCCTCCTATCAAGGGACACGCCCGACTTAAATGGCAGTGCCTGTCTGTTCTGCACATGGCACATCGTGTCGTCGTTGCTGCGGGCGCTGCCCGGCCGTGGCGAGATACACGCTGCCACTTTCGGACAGCGTCTTTTGGTGGGCATCGTCCCCACTCTGGCGGCGCCCGTGATCATCATCATCATCGAAGTTAAGCCCCACCAGCCCACCCTGCTCGGTTGGGATGGGCCTTGGAACCCGAAGGAACACGTATATATGATCGCGGGTGGAGGGTTCATAGGCCCCCCCATATGGGATGGGTTCCAGGGTTCCGCAGCCCCCCCCCAGATGGGATGAGGGGGGGCGACGACGCCGACGTCGACGCCGACGCCGATGTCCACGCAGACGCCGATGCTGCCGCCGCCGCTGCCGACGACGACGCCATCGCCGCCGACGCTGACGCCGACGCCGACGCCGACGCCGACGCCCAAGATGACGCCGGCGCCGACGCCGACGACGACGCCGGCGCCGCCCGACGTCGCCGCAGCCGCCGCCGCCGCCGCCGCCGCCTCCGCAGCCGCCGCCGGACGACGACGACGACGACAAAGACGACGACAAACCACCCTACACCCTGCACGGGCACCCTCCACCAGGTCACGCCCTCAGGGCCACGACCACAGGAGGGGGGGGGAACGATCCCATTCGCCATTCGCGGGGCCTTCGCGAGGCTCACGTGCGTACCCGTCCAGCGGTGGGGGGGGGCCTCGAATCCCTATGCTTTGGGGGTTGCGTGGGAGGGGGGGAGGGCAACCCTGGATCAGGTAGCTCCACCCAGGTGCGCAGGTCGGCCAGTGGGGCCGCGGCCACGCCAGTGGGGACAGGGACCGGCGGGACGGTGCTCGCGGGGTGGCGCGGGGGCGGCGGCCTTGCCACGAGTGCGGGGGGGGCCTTCTTCGGAAGGCCCCCCCCGCGCCCCGACCCTTGGTGCGCGCCGCCAGTCGGGGCGCCGGAGACGGGGGGCAGCAGGCGGAGGCACGGGGAAGGCCGATGTCCGCGTTGGGCTATGCCCCCGTTTGGGGGGCCGTTGGCAGGGGGCAGGTGGAAGAGCCAAAGTCTCCGTTCAGCTATGCCCCCGTGGAGCGGAGCCCAGAGCCAAGCAGCGGTGACGGTCAAGCAGCTCGGGTGTAGCCAGGACCCCAGGTCGGGCGACCCGGTTAGCGGTGGGGCCCCCAGAATCACTTAAACCATGTCTGCGTTTTTTTTTTTTTTTTTTTTTTTTTTTTTCTCTGCGGGTGACGGCAGTTCCGGTTAGTGGAATGGGGCGGGGGGGTCCGCCCCCAGTACACATCATTAAACCAGGTCCCACCAAACCCAGTTCTGCCAACGCCCGAAAGCAGGGGTGTCGGGGGCCTGGGGGATTGGCGAAGTTCGGTGTCGTCCCCGCGGCGGGTCGGCCCGTGCAAGAGAGGCGCGCTCGTCCGCCACGTCCAGCAATTCAATTCACCTCGTGCTTCCAGCCCCTCGTGGGGTTCGAGTAGAAATCGACTACATAATTCAATTCCCTAGAAACTGAAACTTCGCCGAATTTACGAAAACAATGAGAAGAACTTTCGTATATCAGCGAAAATTAACGTATCTTACGTAGAGTCGACGAACAACCTAATCTCGGGGTACATCAGTTTTGTAGTCGATCTCCCACTCGAAGGGCGCCCCCGCTTGTGCCTCGATTGGCGCCCCATCCTGTTGTTCCTCCTCGCGCCCCTGTCCCCTCTTGACCGCTCCCCCGTTACCTCTGTCCTGTGGGCAGGGGGCCTCGCTCTGCTCCCCTCCCTTCTTCCTCACCCTCGTCCTCTTCCTTCCTCTTTCCCTTCACCTCCTCCTCTTCCTCATCTCCTCCTTCTCCTTACCTCCTCCTCCTCCTCCTCCTCCTCCTCCTCCTCCCTTCCTCCTTCTCCTCCTCCCTTCCTCCTCCTCCTCCTCTTCCTCCTCCTCCTCCTCCTCCTCCTCCTACACCTCCTCCTCCTCCTCCTCCTTTTCCTTTTCTCCTCCTCCTCCTCCATCTCCTCCTCCTCCCCTCCCTTCTCGCTCCTGCTCCTCCTCTCCTCCTGCCTCTACACCTCCTCCTCCCTCCTCCTTCCCCTTCTCCTTTCCTCCTCCTCTCCTCCTCCCTTCCTCCTCCTTCTCCTTTCCTCCTCATCCCTCCTCCTCCTCCTCCCCTATCCTCCTCCTTTCTCCTTTCCTCCTCCTACTCCCCTAACCTTCTTCTCCTCCTCCTCCTCCTCCTCCTCCTCCTCCCCTTTCTCCGTTCCTCCTTTCCTCCTTCATCCTCCTCCTCACCTCTCCTCCTCCCTCCTCCTCCCTCGCTCCTCTCTCCTCCTCCTCCTCCTTCTCCTCCTCCTCCTCCTCCTCCTCCTCCTCCTCCTTCTCCTTCTCCTTTCCTCCTCCCCGTCCTCCCCCCCCTCTCGCCCACGGCAGGAGAGGCAGGGGTGGGGTGGAATTCTTGAGCCGTGGGGAGAGCAGCGGGGATCTGTCGGCTTTCCCCTACCCTTCGGTTCGAGGCTAGAGCACCTCCTGAAGGACGGGCAGGGCAGCTTCATCAAGGCCCTCCACGACAAGGGGCGTGTGTCCCCACTGCTAGATCAGGCGCTGACGAGGAGTAGCAGGAGGAGGAGGAGGAGGAGGAGGAGGAGGAGGAGGAGGAGGAGGAGGAGGAGGAGGAGGAGGAGGAGGAGGAGGAGGAGGAGGGGAGGATCAGGAGGGGGCGGAGGAGGGTTTCGTAAATCATGGCCCAGGGCAAGCGCGCGGACGAGGGAGGGACCAGGGGACGTACTGAAAGCAGAAGAGGGGGCCACGACATCCCAAGCGAGCTCCGTCGGGGCCCTGGCCATGATGTCCACGCCTCCTAGAAACCCGAGGGAGGAGCAGCAGAAGAAACAGGAGGAGGGGCAGGAGGAAGAGCAGGAGTAGGCGGAGGAGGGAGGGAGGGAGGGAGAGGAAGAGAAGGAGGAGGCAGAAAGGATGAGGAGGAGGTGGAGGAGGAGGAGGAGGAGGAGGAGGAGGAGGAGGAGGAGGAGGAGGAGGAGGAGGAGGAGGAGGAGGAGGAGGAGGAGGAGGAGGAGGAGGAGGAGGAGGAGTAGGAGTAGGAGTAGGTGGAGGAGGAGAAGGAGGAGGAGGCAGAGGAGGAGGAAGAGGAGGAGGAGGAGAGGAGGAGGAGGAGGAGGAGGAGGAGGACGTTCGGCTCGTGCCCCGCGGGTGTCTTTGCCCAGGCATCGCTGCACTCGACGCGGAGGGGGAGGAGGGGGACCAGTGTATCCAGCTGCCCGCGGCGACTCGGGGCCCTCTTGGACGGTCTTGGGGGCCGCCTGGGCGGTCATGGAAGCCTTGGGGAACCCCGAGAGGCGCCATGGCCACCCAGGGGCCCCCCGGGAGTATGGCCAGTGCGCGCGACGATGTGCGACCGGAGAGGGGGGGGGCCTTAGAAGATTACATATACCCCAAGTACCAGGCAGCACTTGGCATTCTAGCACGCCTCAACGTGCCAGAGGGCACGGTGGCGGATACCCAAGACTCATCAACGATGTTCGATTCAACCATCCCCCAAACTCCCTCTTCCTGGGCCCACCAGGGTTCATCTCAACTGAGGGATGTGCCCCGTTGGGGTACACCCTTCTGAAGATCCTGGAGCGTGCCGAGACACAATTCTCGGGAATAATACGCCACGAATCAACTGGACTGTTGCGTCTGCGTCTTGACGACCCTCAAATGTGCCAGAACACCATGTCTGGAATTTCAACACCTCGAATCAACGTACCTGTTACGCCTTGACAATCTTGAATCGTTCCAAAACGTGCGTCCTGGTACGTTAACCATGGGAAGCAGTGACGCCCTTCCGATTGGCCACGGGGTGCGACAGGGAGGATTTATCTCTCGGGCAAAGGACTGGAGGAGGAAGAGGAGGAGGGAGGATAATCGATGACCGAGGATCGATCTTTCCCGTGCACCAGCCCAGGGCCCAGGACGGCCCAGGCCTGAGATGGTGGCGGCGCGCAGCCGCTGCTTCTGGGCCGCGAGCCTGCTGCAGCTCGAGCCCGCGGGCGGGCCCCGGCAACGCCGGGGGGCGGCGGCAGCGCGGGAGCCACCGAGCGCGTTTCACAACGCGCCTGCCCAGGGAGGCAAACGTGCAGCCTCAGAGCTCCAGGACCGCTGCGCGCTTCGGCGCGGCCTCGCCGGGCGCAGCGTTTCGCTGGCGGGCAGCGATGGCCCTGGGGGGGGGGGGGGGGCGGTCCGCAGCGCGGGTCGCGCGGCGTCGGCAGCTGCCCATGCGAGGGCGCCCGGTACAAGGCGCAAGCGCCCCAGCGGGGTGTCCTGCACGCGGCAGGGCCGGGGGCCCCCAGGCGGTGCGGCGACCACTGCGTGTGGTGGGTCAGTGGGGATGCGGGGTGACTGCGCGGTTTTTGGGCTGCTTGGGTCGTTCTCCAGGGATGTCTCGGGGAGCTGGGGCCTCGTACCTGGATCCGATTCCTTCCTCGTCATGCCGTCCCTCTCATTGTCTCTCTTTGACCGCCCCCTGCTGCTGTTAATTTTACTCTTCCTGCTCCACGTCCTGTGCACAACAGACCCTGCCATCGCTGACTGAACAGCCAACGGTGGTCGAAACCCTGCGACAGCCGTTAGGCAACCGAGGTGTTCTATAGAACACCCCACTCGGTTGGTAGAATAACATCCAGTTGCCTGCGGCACGTCCCGCCGCTGTGCCAGCCCAGCATTCTGGGTGGCGACTGTTCGATGGGACTCGGGGGCTGTCTGGTGTGACACCTCGTGTCTACATGCTAGGGGGAGCCATCATAAATACTATGAGGAATCGAGGATTATTGAGATGGTGATGGTGCTGCTGCTGCTGACGATGGCGATGACGATGACGATGATGCTGCTGATGCTGATGCTGATGCTGATGCTGCTGCTGCTGCTGATGATGATTGTGATTGTGATGATGATGATGATGATGATGATGATGATGATGATGATAATGATGATAATGACGATGATGATGCTTATGCTGCTGATGCTGATGCTGAGTCTGATTATGCTCATGATGCTGATGCTGATGATGCTGGTGATGATGATGCTGATCCTGAAGCTGCTGCTGATGATGATGCTGCCGGTGCAAATGATGGTGATGATGATGGTGATGGCCGTGGCGATGGTGATGATGCTGCTGCTGATGATGATGGCGATTATAATCAGGCATATTATTATGATGATAAGCTTAACGATACTGATGGTGAGGATGGTGAAGATGCTGATGGTGATGATACTGATGCTGATGATGATGATTGCGTCTATGATGACGATGACGATGATAATGATGACGATGACGATTACGATGATGATACTGATTATGATGCTGCTGATGATAATGACGCTGGTAATGATGTTGCTGATACTGATGATGATGCTGATGCTGATGATGATAATACTGATACTGATTATGATGCTGATGATGATGACTATGCTGATGATTCTGATACTGATTATGATGATGCCGCTGATGATGATGATGATGATGATGATGATGATGATGATGATGATGATGAAGATGACGAAGATGACGCTGCTGCTGAGCATGATGCCGATTCTGATGATGGTGATGATGCTGCTGATGCTGATGCTGATGCTGCTGCTAATCATGATGATGACGGTGATGCTACTGATGATGCTGCTGCTGATGAGGATGATGATGCTGATTACGATGATGATGATGATGATGATGATGATGATGATGATGATGATGATGATGATGATGATGATAATTCTGGTGATTATTATCGTGGTGGTGGTGGCGATGACGCTAATGCTGATGCTGATGCTGATGCTGATGATGATGCTGCTGATGATGATGTTGCTGATGATTATGTTGCTGCTGCTGATGATGATCATGATTACGAGTATGATGATGCTGCTGCTGATGATGATGAAAGTCATGATGATGCTGATGATGACGACGACGATAGTGATGAATGTGATGTTTAGGACAAGGACGAGGCTGGAGGAGGAGGAGGAGGAGCAGGAGGAGCAGGAAGATCAGAATGAGGAGGAGGAGGAGGAGGAGGAGGAGGAGGAGGAGGAGGAGGAGGAGGAGGAGGAGTAGGAGGAACATAACGGCCGCCACGTCTGACACATGTCGTCTTGACTATTTGAGTAGCTCTCATTGACTCTTTGGTGCCGTGTTTAGCTGGCTTTGCATCCTGTGAGGCAGCATTGGTGGCCCGTGGGGACCTCTTGGGCCGTCTTGGGGCACTCTTAAGCCCTCTTGGTGCTCTTTTGGTCCGTATTGAGGCCCTCGTGACTGTATGGTGGGTGTTCGGGCCGTCTTGGTGCCGTCTTGGGCTGTCGAAGGGCCTTCGAAGGCTGGCCTGGGTCCAGGGGAAGCCCTTTTGGACCATTTTGGGGCCATTTTGGATGCCGCTTGGGCTATCGTGTCCTCTTCGGCCATCTTGGGACCGTCTTGGGTGAAGCCCGACAAGGCGAGAATGATAGCATCATTCAAACACCGACGGGACATCACATCTTTTCGTTTCGTCGTGCCCTCTTGGAGGTCCTCTCGTGGCCCGTTTGGGCTCTCTTGGGTGCATCTAGTGGCCGCCTCGAGGCCACATTCCGCCGCCTTGGGGCCATCTTGGGCCGTCCTCCAAGCATGTTGGGCCATCTAGGTGTCCTTGGTTGCCTGCATGGGCCGTCCTGTGAGGTCAGGGCGTGGCTCCAGGGAGTTGTCAACACGGACTGGTGGCCTCGGGCACGCGGGTCCGTGGATTTATTCACGAATGTTTTCGTGTGAACAGTACATCTGTACTTATATACAAGTCAAACGGTTTACATACATATATATATATATAGGTATCTATTTATATCCATGTTCATGTTTGTTTTTGCGTGTACAGTACATCTGTATTCACATACAAACCAAGCGATCGTGGCGCCGGGTGAGCGGGCGATGCGCGCAGCGGTCCGCGGGCAGAGAGGGGGGGCCCCTTGCCCAGCGCAGAGGCCTGACCGGGCAGCACCTGGCCTTCTGCCACGCCTGGCGTATCATGCCGGGGGAGACGGCGGCGGATTCCGCGTACGGAGAAGGGATGGATGGGACGGGTAGGGTGTCAGATATGTTGCAGGGGCGCGCCGAATCGTCTTGCCCCTCTTCCCTCTCCCCCCTCCTTCCCTCTCCCCGTCTGGTACCGTGCCAGGGGAGACGGTGGCGGATTCCACGTACGGAGAAGGGATGGATGGGACGGGTAGGGTGTCAGATATGTTGCACGGGCGCGCCGAATCGTCTTGCCCCTCTTCCCTCTCCCCCCCCCTTTCCCTCTCCCCGTCTCCCTCTGTGCCTGTCCAGCTTTGGTGTTTCTGCTGGTGTTTCTACTGACTGTGTGCCGCGTCAGTTTGCAAGATGTTGTTCAGCGGTTGAAGGGCCTCCTTGAAATAGTCTCCCTACTCTTCTTCCTCCTCGTCGTTTTTCCCACACCTTGTTCTCGCCTTGACCCAAGAACCATCCTCCCTGGTCGCCAGCGGCGAGGCTGAGGGGGAGGAGGTGAGGATGAGGATGAGGATGAGGATGAGGATGAGGATGAGGGTGAGGATGATGATGATGATGATGATGATGATGATGATGATGATGCTGATGCTGATTATGATGATGATAACGATGAAGATGAGGATGATGATGATGCTGATGATGATGACGATGGAGATGACGATGATGATGACGAGGATGATGATGATGATGATGCTGATGATGATGATGCTGCTGATGATGATGACGATGATGATGATGCTGATGCTGCTTCTGATAAAGATGATGCTGCTGATGATGCTGCTGATGATAATGATGTTGATGATGATGATGATGCTGATGATGATGATGATCATCATGATGATGATGATGATGCTGATGCTGATGCTGATGCTGCTGATGATGATGATGATGGTGGTAGTGGTGGTGGTGGTGGTGGTGGTGGTTGTGGTGGTGGTGGTGCCGACGACGACGACATCGGCGACGACGAAGACCTCGACGACGACGATGACGACGATGATGCGGACCACCACGACGACGACGACGACGAAGTGGATAATGGAGGAACAGGGGGAGGGAGGGATGGAGGGATGACGAGGAGGATACTGAGCATACTCAGGATGAGGAGGAGCAGACCTGCGGGCATGCGTGCTGCCTCTTCCTCTTCCCCAGGACGCTCAGACCCCCCAACGCGCCCGATTCCCCGACTCCCCCCCCCCAGAGCGCCCTGCAGCCCTGCGAACCTCCAGTTTGCCCTTGTCGTCGTTGTTCTTCTTTTTCTTCTCCTCCTCCTCCTCCTTCTCCTCCTCCTCCTCCTCTTCGTCCTTCTCTTCGCTATCCTCCTTCTCTTGGTCCTCATCCTCCCTCTCTCCTCCTCCCTCCCTCTGTCCTCCCTCCTGCTGGCCCTCCCCTCTGCCCGCCTCCTCCTCTTCCGATGCCCTCTGCACCGTTTTTTTTTGTTGTTCTCTCTCTCTCTCTCTCTCTTTATCTCTCTCTCTCTCTCTCTCCCCCCCCCCTCTCCTCGATGGGCCTGTTCTGGTCGAGCCACGCGTATCCCCAGGCTTGCGCCGCCATGCCTGCGCCGCCAAGCTTCGGCTCGGAGGCGGTCGCCGAGCTGTTCGTTGCTCGCCCCTCGCCCCGTTCCCCCTCTGCATCGCCGTGGCGAACGTCTTGGGCGGCCTGCGCGCAGGATGACTGACACCTAAATGACTCCGCGCGGACGCGCGTCCCGCCCCCCTTCTTCACGACAGACCAGGCGGGGAGATTGCCGATCCCGTTTGGAGACAACAGAGCCGTTCAAGGGGGGCCAGAATGACTCCGCGAGAGAGCATGCGCCACCTGCGCATGTTCGGAATCTCCAGAGGGATCGGAGGTTCCAGAACCATGCCGAACCGCATAGACTTTCGTCACGGCAGGGTCCTTTGGCGCCCCCTTGGATCCGTGGGGGCAGGGGAGCACGTGCTATCGGAACGGGCAGAGGGTGGATGATGATGATGATGACGATGATGATGATGATGCTGATGATGATGATGCTGATGATAATGATGATGTTGATGTTGATAATGATGATGTTGCTGATGATGATGATGATGATGGTGGTGATGATGATGCTGATGCTTATGACGATGCTGACGATGATGCTGATGTTGATGCTGATGATGCTGACATTGATGGTGATTATGATGATGATGATACTGAGGCTGATGATGATGATGCTGCTGCTGATGATGATGCTGATGATGATGAGGAGGAGGAGGAGGACGAGAAGGAAGCGCAGGAGGGGCAGGAGGAGAAGGAAGAGCAGGAGGAGCAGGAGGAGCAGCAGGAGGAGCATTGGGAGGAGGAGGAAGAGGAGAAGGAGGAGGAGGAGGAGGAGGAGGAGGAGCAGGAGGAGCAGGAAGAGCAGGAAGAGCAGGAGGAGGTGGAGCAGTGTAAAACCAAGAGTCGTCAACGATGTTGTAATTAATCCTCCCTCCAAGCTCCCTCTTCATAGGTTCCCACAACGGCTCATTCATTTCCATTGAGGGAGCTGCCTCGTTGGAAGACCACCGTTTGAAGATCTTGAAGCATGCCAGAACATTGTGCTCGGGATTTCAACACCACCTATCAACCTGGCTGCTGCGCCTTGACGATCTGGAATCGTGCCAGAGCGTCATTTTGGAATTTCAACACCGCCAATCAATATAACTGTTGTACCCGCACAATCCTGAATCCTTCCAAAACCATTTCTGGTACGTTGATCATGGGAACCCGTGAAACTGTTGCAAATTTTGGCAACGAATGTGCGCGGCGCTAAGGCGAGAACCACATTTTGAAAAGGAACCGCCCTCAATCCGTGAAGCTCTTGCAAAATTCATAAACGACCCGCCCTCAATCCGTGAGATTCTTGCAAATGTTTAAAACGAATGTGCGCGGCGCAAAAGCGAGACCACATTTTGAAAACCACCCGCCCTCAATCCGTGAAACCTTTGCGAGGTTTTCAACGCATGTGCGCGGCGCTTAGGCGAGAGCCACATTTTGAAAACGAGCCGCCCTCAATCCGTGAAGCTCTTGCAGATTGTGAAAACGAATTTGCGCGGCGCTTCGGCGAGAGCCACATGTTGAAAAGGAACTGCCTTCAATCCGTGAAACTCTTGCAGATTCTTCAAAAAAGAATGTGCGCGGCGCTAAGGCGAGAGCCACATTTTGAAAACGACCCGCCCTCAGTCCGTGAAACTCTTGCAATTGTTTAATACGAATGTGCGCGGCGCTTCGGCGAGAGCCACATCTTGAAAACCACCCGCCCTCAGCCCGTGAAACTCTTGCAAGTTTTTGCAGCGAATGTGCGCGGCGCTAAGGCGAGAGCCACATTTTGAAAACCACCCGCCCTCCATTTGTGAAAGCGTTGCCACTTGTTAAGCTTCAGAATCATAAATGGTGAGGAAGTCTCAGGCGAATTGCCCGGCCCGCCCTAAAAACTGGCCTCAGGGTGTGACAGGGAGGATTTATCTACAAGGAGATGAAATGGAGGAGGAGGGGGAGGAGCAGGAAGAGCAGGATGATGATGATGATGGTGATGATGATGATGATGATGAGGATGATGACGATGATGATGATGATGATGATGATGATGCTGATGATGATGATGATGATGATGATGATGATGATGAGGATGATGATGATGATGATGATGATGATGATGATTGATGATGATGAGATGATGATGATGATGATGATGATGATGATGATGATGATGATACTGATGATGATGATGATGATGATGATGATGATGATGATGATGATGATGATGATGATGATGATGATGATGTGAATGGATGATGGTGATGGTGATGATGGTGATGATGATGATGATATGATGATGATGATGATGATGATGAGGATGAGATGGATGAGGATGATGATGATGATAGATGATGATGATGAATGATGATGATGATGATGATGATGGGTGGTGGTGGTGGTGGTGGTGTGTGGTGTGGTGGTGGTTGTGATGATGATGATGATGTGATGCTGAGAGGCTGAGGCTGAGGCTGAGGCTGAGCTGATGATGATGATGATGATGATGATGATGATGATGTGATGATGATGATGATGATGATGGTAGGTGGTGGTGGTGGTGGTGGTGATGAGGAGGAGGAGGAGGAGGAGGAGGAGAAGGGAGAGGGGGAGGCTCTGTCGGAAGGCCAATCCCCCCCGTACGCCCTCCAGAGTGGTGAGGTGCCACTCTACCTGGTGAAGAGCGACGACATGGGCCAGCGAGGGGCCCACCTGCGGTCGGTCCGGCTGCTCCAGGCCGCCTCTTTCGAGCGGCGGCCGCCGCCGTCGCTTTCGCCCGCGGAGTGGGAGAGATGGTGAGAGGGAGTGGGGAGGGGGATGGAGGAGAGGAGTGGAAGAGGAGGAGGGGGGGAGGAGGAGGAAGAGGAGGAGGAGGAGGAGGCGGAGGAGGAGGAGGAGAAGGAGGAGAAGGAGAGAAACAGAAGGAGGAGGAGGAACAGAAGGAGGAGGAGGAGGAGGAGGAGGAGGCGGAGGAGGAGGAGGAGGAGGAGGAGGAAGAGGAGCAGGGGGAGGAGGAGGAGGAGGAGGAGGAGGAGGAGGAGGATGAGGAGGAGGATGACGGAGGAGGATGAGGAGGAGGGAGGAGGAGGAGGAGGGAGGAGGAGGAGGAGCAGGAGCAGGAGCAGGAGGAGGGAGAGAGGGAGGGAGGGAGAGAGGAAGGGATAGAGGGAGAGAGGGAGGGAGGGAGAGAGGGAGGGAGAGAGGGAGGGAGGGAGGGAGGGAGAGGAGGGTGGGAGGGAGGGAGGGGGAAGGGAGGGAGGACGATGAGGAGGAGGAACATAAGGGGGGGGAGATGGCGGAGGATGAGGAGGAGGATTTGGAGGAGGAGGAGGAGGAGATGGGCGAGGGAGAGGAGGAGGAGGAAGAGGAAGAGGAGGAGGATGAAGAGGATGAGGATGAGGATCATGATGTTGATGATGCGGACGATGCTGATGATTAGTTTACTGCTGATGCTGATGCTGAGTTTGCTGATGATGATGATGCTGCTGCTGATTATGCTGATGATGATGCTGATGCTGATGCTGACGATGATGATGCTTTTGGTGAGGGCCATGTTGCTGATGCTGATGTGGATGCTGATCACGATGATGATGATGACGATGATGATGATGAGGAGGATGCTGTGCTGATGATGATACTGTTGATGATGACGGCCATGCTATTGATGGTACTGTTGATGCTGATACTGATGATGCTGCTGATGATGGGGGGACCAGGATGGGGAGGATGATGATGCAGTTGATAATGATGATGCTGATGATCATGATGATGATGATGATGATGATGATGATGATGATGATGATGATGATGATGATGAATATGATGCTGTTGATGATGATGACGATGATGATGATGCTGATGACGATGATGATGCTGATGCTGCTGCTGATGCTGATGCTGCTGCTGATGATGATGATGGTGACGATGGTGCTGATGCTGATGCTGATGATGATGATGCTGATGCTGATGATGATGATGATGCTGATGATGATGATGATGCTGATGATGATGATGATGCTGCGGCTGATGATGATGCTGCTGATGATGCTGATGATGCTGATGATGATGCGAATTATGAGGATGATGCTGATGATGATGCTGATGATGCTGTTGATGATGATGACGATGATGATGATGATGCTGATGATGATGCTGCTGATGATGATGATGATGCTGATGCTGATGCTGATGACGATGATGATGATGATGATGATGATGATGATGATGAT